TGTGATAATCTTATAAAAATAACAGAATTGACTCGCTAGTTTTGGCCTGAGTTGGATTTTTTTTTTCCCACAAAGTAGCAGTAGTTTGGGACAAAGAGTGGTATTGACAGTTCAGTTTAGATATGCTGGTGAAAAAAAGTATTAACAAGTAAGTATACCAGCTAATACAATAAGCACATAAGCTAACACATGTCAGTAAAGAGAAAATTATCTTAGGAAACAGGTGAGTTTCTTGTGAGGTCGCTGCATGTAACATAATGGTTTCAAACTGAGATCTACATATCACACTCCATCACAAAAAATGCTGAGATTTACAAGAGGAATGGTCATCAAGAATGTCATATTTTTTGCCCACTCCAGCAAGAAGTTCTGGCTGCTGCGTCCTAGCTGTTCAGTTGCTGTACTGTTACAAAGAGGATCACATCCTCAGCTGGAGTAAATCCATGAGCACAGTTAGCTTCAACACAACTATACAAGGCTGTACAAGCTGAGGAGCTGTATGGCTCAGTAATTTCTTGGGTATCACTTGTGGAAGCAAGTGTTGTGCTTGCCTGGGAGGCTGTTCAAAAAATGAATAGGTAAACAGCTGATCTGGTTTGTAGGAATTTGGGATCCCACCAAACTGCACAGACACTGGTTAAAATAATATCTGGGCACAGGTCATGTTCTTAGTAAAAGTCAGTCATACAGATACATACAAGAAATACATTTCCTCTACATACACATTGGACACAAACTAAAGAAATTGTTAGGATGAAATTTCTTGGTAACAGAATATTTTGTGCTGTGAAAGTAGAAAATAATGCTTCTTCACTAGGTGCTTTACCCAACAAATCCAACACACACCAAACATCCAAAGCAGTTTCCATTTGACCCACGATGCATTCAACATCTTTTATTGCTTATAAGGGGACAGTTCAACTGCAGAGTTTTCTTTCCCAGGCTGCAATGTTGGAATGCCTTTTCTGACTGCTACTATTGGTATCCAGAATAAGCATCATTCTTAACTCTTATGAAGGCCTCTAGAAAACACAATGTAGGGGGGGTATTGTACTGCTAGTCAGTGATATTCTTCAAGCTTTGTGTGTTTATAGGCCAAATTTTTGGTCTAGAAATTTTTTTAGAATTTTTTAGCTATCCCAGAGAATCTGCTATTAATGATGTGGATCTCTTGCAGCAGAGGTTGAAACTACAGTCTGCTGGTGTTTAACAAGATACAGAAACTGCGCACAATTACTTTACACTGGAATTCACTATTATAATACAATACCGAGACATTCTAGACATACTCAAAAACACCAACTCAAAAGTGATTTCATACAGATGCTTTGAATAATTTTTAACATTTTTTTACCTGTCCTTTCTACTAGTTTTCAAAGTATCTATTTCAATATGATTTGGGCTACTTAAATTTTAATACTTTGGTATTTTCTGTGTCCTTTCAGTAAGCTTTAAAAAAAATAGATGCTCTCAGTAATACATGTGTCTCATCTGATCTGCAAGAAGCAGCAATCTAAGTCAAAATAGTTGTCATTTTTTAACATCACAAAATAATAAAGTTTGTCTATTATACACAGAAATATTCTCTTCTACCCCATCATAGAAAATTAGTCATACTTTCACCTTCCAAAGACAACAATATATTCAGTGTTAATGCTTACTATTCAATCCATTTTGCCCAGAGCAAACTGAAAAAGATGTTCTGAATAATGAGAGTGGCGTTCCTCAGGGGTCGGTACTGGGA